GTGGCCGTATAATGAATGGGCCATACTAACAATATCTGTTGAAAATAAAATTGATCTACCACAATGGGTATTTGTGGCTCATTTCTGTCAAAGTGTGACTATTTTTTAGGTACGTTCTGGGGGGCGTGGCTCTCGGGGTTTTTCCCCGGCATTTGCAACCAACTACGAAATGAAACGGTGTGAATTTAATGTGTAAATAATATCTGGCATCCAGAAGTAAGCAAGTCTTAGTCATTCGACAGCACATTTCATAGTTTCGTAGACGTTTGAAGTTTGGCCCAAAGCTTTTCAGTGCTGTGGGAAAATTTATTTAAGGCTACAAATGAAGTTTTAAAATTGTATAGATAGAATTTCCAGTTTCAAAGTTTGCTGCTTTATAAATTCAAAGACTTTTCCGACAGATTCAATCAATAATTTACCAGCAGGGCTTCCAATTAATAATTTAGCTTTATGAATTGCCAAAAACCTAAAACAGTCTATTGATCAATTACGCCTAAATAGTTTGGGCAGCATTTTCCCAATGCTAATGGCATACCAAATATGCCACTCCCCAAATGAATGTGTCGTTAACGCGATTCAACCCACCGAATTTTGCCATTATTTTGGTGTTTATGTCGTTTTTGGGCCTACTTCCCCTTCGCCGATTCTTGGCCGTGACAATTAAACAACAAAGAAGCCGCACACAAACACTAAAACTGAATATATGTATAGATAGACATTTGGTCGGAAAAAATGGCAAATGACAACAGCAATCGGTAATTATTGACACAGGAAGCGGCCCCCACGGAAATATATACATGCAGATATGTATGTATGCAATCTGCAAATTCATAAACAAATTATTTTCGATGGGGCAACGATATGGATATGGATGTGAATATGCCAGTTGTTTACTTTAGTTTGGCCATTCAGGAACCCTAATGACCTAACGACCTTATACTGGCCCTACTGCATTACAATGTCCACAGGGCTGGGCCCTGCATCCTTCAGAACCCAATTAGCAGCGGGCTCCCGCCTAATTGATTGATTGCCCACGGGTGTGTCACACTTAGCGGTAGCCCACTGTCCCCCTGTCCCACTGTATTGGCACTCGATGGCCCGCCAATTTATCGCCATAAAACCCCATATCTGTCGCTGTCACTTTGTCGCCTGGCAATATCGGAATAATTTTCATATTTGATAAGTAAATGGATGGGTGGGTTCGAATTCTAATTCCGCGACTTTTCCCGCCGCTCTCCATGGTGATAAATGTGGAGTGGGTGGCTTCTGGTGGCTCATAATGTGACAGGCACCTTAAATTGTGCATTTTATTTACGATTTCGATGGGGAAAGTGCTTGTTGCCTCGAATCTTAGCAGAGCAAACGAACTATATTTTAAAACTATGCTTACCATTTTTGTCTGGTCCGTTTTAGGTTATTTCAGTTTGAAACCATTTTTATTTGAACTTCTATAGGCTTTTGTGGGCTTAATTATAATTGAATTCAAGTTATTTGCCTTGTCAAATTTGATGCAAGAATTGCTGCACTTTTGTGGCGGAACATCCGCTGTTTTCACCAGACACACAAACAGTAACAAGCACCCAAAGTCCAAAAGCATATGGCCAGCAATTGAAGCCATTAAGCACACGACGTGGTCAAAATTATCAGGCCGCCCTTTCCGACGGCTTTTGGTGTTAGCCCAAAAGTGATTAATTTTGTTTGATAGGATAGAGGCAAAATTGAAGAGTGTTCGCTAAGTAGCTATGACTTTCAGGGGAATGTTTTCTGATCCTGGCATTGGCATAACTACAGAGTTTCGTTTTTATACCATATACTTAAACTCTCTGAAAGATACTGACCTTCTATCCGAACCATTCTATTGACTCCTCCTAATTTGTCTGTGTGTCCGTTCTATCTGTTCGTGAGTTTGTCCGCGAGTTTGTCCTCGAGTTTGTCCGTAAGTTTGTCCGCGAGTTTGTCCGCGAGTTTGTCCGTCTGTGAGCTTGTCCATCCCAAGGTTTTAAGCACCGAGTCCTTAACTCGCAGGTCTTCATCATGACGAGCATTATCTTGATCGAGAGCGTTTCGGAACTGGCCTTCATCCGGCAAGCGATGCTGGTCCATGGCACTTTAGTCGGTTATCTAATCACCTGCTCTGTGATAGCAACAGGTAAATCCCTGGAACTACCCAGTCTAGCGTCTGTCTAAGAGGTGGATATGTTTTCAGGTCATTTGGGTGGCATAGTCGTGGACAAGCGCCTCGATATTATCTTCTCGATCGGTGGCTTCATCCTTTTTGGGGCCACAGGCACCATTATCCTAGCCCAATGGCTGGCACACTGCAAGTCGCAGGAGGAGTGGGAAATGCTGCTGGTCTCCGGCATTTTGAGTCTCGCCAATGGCGCCATCTTCGTGGGCGACATTTTCGTTGTGCTGGCTTCCTAATATAAGTATTTGAACTAATAAAATGATTACTTCAAATGCTCAAACCCGTTTTTCTTTCATGATTATTTTTAGCCAAGTTATGATTAAAATGGCCATACAAAATTTTTGATTTTTTGCCAAAATCGGCTTTTCCGAATTTTGGTCATAAAATAATCAGTTTTTTGGCCACAACTTTAAAAATAATTGTCTGAACATGAAATGGTATACCTCGATGCGCTCGTAATAAAATTTCCAATCAAACTGTGTTTAAAAATGGGAACTCAATTTTTTTGCCATTTTTTGCAAATTTTGATGATGTTACCCCTTACAAAAAATACAAAAATTGACCCAAAAATTAATTTCCCAAAATCCGTCAAAAAGTGATAGGGATCGTTAGTATTGGTAATTAGCTGCTCAAAACAGTTATTCTTTCATGTTTATGATCATTTTTAGCCGAGTTATGATTAAAATGCCCACCAAAAATATTTGAATTTTTGCCAAAATCCGTTTTTGCTCATTTTGGTCATAAAATAATCAGTTTTTTGGCCACAACTTTAAAAATAATTGTCTGAACATGGAATGGTATACCTCGTTGCGCTCGTAATAAAATTTCCAATCGAACCGTGTTTAAAAATGGGAATGCTAATTTTTTGCCATTTTTTTCAAATTTTGATGATGTTACCCCTTACAAAAAATTCAAAAATGTACCCAAAAATGAATTTCCCAAAATCTTTCAAAAAGTGATAGGGATCGTTAGCATTGGTAATTAGCGGTTCAAAACGCCCAATTTGTAGGCTATGTGACCATTTCCATTCAAGTTATAACGAATGAGCCTTAAGAAAGTGTGGAACTTACGTATTGTTTCCCATTACGAAAAGCCCTGCTAATGATAGCGTATGCTCTTTCCGCATCTTCCAGGCCATCGCCATCGCCTGCATTGTGCTGTACGAGACGGTAGGAAACCTGTCCCTCCATCCGGTGATTGTGGCCGGCACCGTTGGTGGCTACACGGTCATCTGCGGCGTTCTGTTGGTTGGTGAGTAGTAGCTAGCCTAGCTTTTGATATGCGGCAGTGTCCTTACGAGCATCCCGATTCCTTTGCAGGCCATGTGGTCAACTCGCTGGTGGAGAAGCGTCTGAACGCCCTGTTCTCGCTGATCGGTTGCCTGCTGTTCGTGGCCTCCGGAGCTCTGGTGATCGATGAGTGGCATGGTGGGCTCCTGAACACCGACAGGAAGCGCCAGGCCATCGGAGCCGGTTCCCTGATGATCATCAATGCGGCCGTCTTCCTTCTGGACACCCTCTGCATCTGCCGGACGTAAAGATTCCGTTCCGTCGTATATGTACTCCATATATATATTTTTTTTTGCAAATCGAATAACTCGTCTTGATAACCATAAAGAAACAAGAATCTATTGTAAATGTTAACGTACCAATTTTTTTTAACTGTGTGTACAACCGTTTTATATGTATTTATACGTGTCTTAAGCTAATCTCAGATATGCGCACGCCGATTATTTACAGGAGTCCATTAAATATATACACATACACAACATATATGTACATTCCAGCTATCTGTGGTTATAATATGCTAAACTCACAACATCTGCCCATGTCTTACATCACCATAATTGCCCCCCAAAGTCCCCGCGAGCCATCACTGCCATTCCGCTCCCGGGATAATGGGCCATAATTGCCAGAGGGCTAAGTTTCTGGGAAAACAAAAAAACTGAAAAACTCACGGCCCTGACGTCACGTGCCAGCAAATGTTGCAAGATCCAATGGTCTGCGATTCAAATCGCATTCAAATCCCAAATCCCGACTACGACCCTTCCCAAAAACGTGGTCAACCTTTCCATTGATAGCCCATGGTTTCAACTCCTGGGCATCAGGGATTAGCTTTTCTATTAACTAGGTAAACCCTCCGTATTTGAGTTTCCACCTTAAATATTTAACCTTTGCTTAGAGGGATAATTGTATGTCGCTTGCATGTTTTTTTTTAATATTTTTGGTTTATTTTTATATTAGCTGCAAGTTTTGAAATACTTGTAATAGCTTTTGTAAGATTGACAATATTTAAGAAGTCCATTTCAAGGAACTTTTCGATAGGCTTAAAAAATATTATAAATTGTTACATTTTGCCCGTATTAATGGGCAGTGCTGCGTATCTGTTGTACTTATTGCAGAGTATTGCCCTATTCGTTGCTTTTGCCTGAGGCTTGCCTACGTTCTGCTGCTGTGTTGTTGTCGTGCCACAAGCTTATTATAATTAAGCAATTTAAATAATTTCTAATTATTTCTTATCATCCGCATGACAACTCTGTGAAAAAATGTATGTGTGCAGTCGGCAGGAGGTGCCCGTTTTAGCGGAAGAGTCGAGGAAAAATAAAGTCGAGATAGATCGCTTTTGAGCCGGGCCAGCAAAAAGATGCAAAGCAGAGATACGAAGACGCTGAGATACAAAGATACAAAGATTCCGATGCACATACAAACCGCCAAAGACTTGAAACCGCCTTGTGATTTATATATTTACTTTTGCTTATACTTTGTATGTTTTTCTCTCTCCCCTTTTTGTTTTTACGTTATTTATCTATTTTTTTCCCTAACTAATAATTTGTGCTAAGTTTACAAGAGGCTTTTTTTCGTTTTGCTGGGAATGTAACCTGCTGCGGCTGATTTCTTGTGGCGATTATGGTACACGATAATTGGAGGCAATTACGACCGGATCCGGAGGTTCAAAGTCAGGGTCACAAGTGCTGAGACTTTGCCATCAGGCCAATCGAGTGTTGTGTGGCCTTCCAAATTTCCAAATTTCCAAATTTTTTCGGCACGTAAATCTACTTGGGATGGCCGGCCAAAAGGAGGAGATCCTGGGCTGCGACTTTGAGGTACGTGGCAAGGTGCCCAAGGAGGCCTTCGAGCTGTTTGCATTGGCCCAGGCCAAGACCCTGGGACTCCGGGGTTTCATCACCCAGGTGTCGGAGGAGAAGTTCAAGGGTCGTCTGGAGGGCGAGGGCAAGGTGATCGATGCCTTCAAGAAGCTCATCCTGGCCGCCTCCGAGTACTTGCAGGCCATCAAGGAGTTCATCATCAAGAACCTGAAAGTCATCCAGGAATACACCTACAAGACCTTCGAAATCAAGACGGACAAGAAGTGACCAAAGTGGCTAAAATTCTGGCAACATAAACCAATAAAGTCAAATATATTTCCTACACTTTCGCAATTGCTTGCAATATATACTTTGGATTAAAATGACTACCTAAACATGTGCTCTATACGATTGTTTCATATATCTAGGTGTTACCGAATAAAACTGCATAACTATAACCACAAATTGAAAACACTTGTCCAAATTGGTTGATATAAAACAAAGAATGTACATTTTCCAGAGTTCAAAGTAGATTTGCAAGAGGCAATTACTCAAAGAGAAGAACGCTGAACTTTTGATGGGCTCATTATAAATTGAATGATTGTTGCGATGCCTGATCTATGCAATTCTCCAAATGACCCATGGATTCTACTTACTACACCGCCGGTTCTAGCTCCGATTCCGATCGTGACGAATGAGCTAATGATGTCCGTGGTCCGTGGTCCGTGGTCGGTGGGAGGGGATAACCTTGTGGCCATCGCCGCCGATCGGATATCAAATCGAATCGCATGCCTCGGATGCATATAATCCAGCGATGTTCCCGGCTGCTTGGCATGCAAATCGGAGATCCGATCGACACGATGAAGGTGTACCACTGGCCAACACCGAACACACAGCCACGGATGGTTATTTATGCGTTCGCGGATACGACTGCCGGCTCACCGGGTTCCAGACCTCTCAGCCAGATAGCACTTGGTAGCAGGCAAATGAGAAGTAGGTGGTGTGTTGGCTTAGACCCTTAAAGCTAGGTTTTGAAGAAATCGGCTGAGCCGATCAAAGCGCTATTTTGTAAGCTAGTGTCTTGTATCTGCAGTGATATATGGACAGCTACACTATCTTGGCTCAAGCAACGTTACAATTTTATGGGTCAATTTGCGGATGGCCATTACTAGAATGTGTGTGTGTGTGTGCAACAGGTAGCCAAGTATGTCTTACACGGAGAAAATTGGCCGTACAAAAATCCATGGTAAAAATACTTCAGCTAAGTGGGAGTTCCAAAAAAACATTGGAAAAACTAACAAATTATTATAATTATCATAAGTACTATTGCATTTTAAAGAAAAGTATACCAATCCAATTTTCGCGCCGTGTATCTATGAATGTGTGGAGAGAACCTATATGCGAAAAGCCACAAAATTGCGGGAAATTAGCCTAGGCGGCGACTTCGTCTTGGACTACTGCGGTTGCCTCGAACATCTATGTATGCACATATATGTACATATGTATGAATCCCAAGTCTGAATCCGAATCTGAATCCAAAATCAGAATTAGCCGCTTAATTGCAGCGCTGTGGCAACACCGGCAAACCGGAAAGAATGGCGACAATGATTGCCAATCGGATTCGCAAGCAATCAGTGCAGACTGTACTTCACGAAAAAGGAGCATAATCAGCATACTTACTTCATTTGGAAAGTAAAAGATGAAATCTTTCACCTACATATTGTGCACATAATCTTGTGAGCTTTTGCAAATAAACCAAATGCAAGTGATTCAACTCTTAGCCAAAAAGATAATGAAGGAATTAAACGCAAGCTACAGTTTTCAGTTTCCAAGTAAATGTTGCATATAAATAAGGAATTAACAGGAAGGAGTGTTAGACTTTGAGTACCACGAATATTCCTCTTTTTGAGGCTTAAAAAAAGCTAAGCTCTCATCTCTGATCGCCGGCGTCATCGGCGCACCGCAGCCGCAGTCGCAGTCGCAGTCGCAGTCGCCGTCCGCTGGCTGGAACTCTGGCGCTTTTGCCGCTCAGTTTGCTTTGAGCGCTGGAACGCGAAAGTCGTCGACGGAGGGCCAACGGTGCGGATGAAAGTTTCGAGGCGAACTGGGAAGATTTTTGAAAAGCGCAGGCGTGCAACGGTTTTTGGGTTTTTTTTTTGGGCTTCGTGGCGCGCTGGGTGAATGGCGACAGCCTTTTTTTTCGAGTGTGGTGGCTGAGTGGAAATCAAAACGCATTTCGTGCATAATTTGTGGAATTTTACACGTTGTAAAATCAATTTGATTGTGCAAACTCCCCGTTTCCCGTTGGCTTTCAGCGGCAGCAACTGAAATATAATGCAGCCACATTAGGCGGGCAAGCAATAAGCAAATATCCTAAAAACCAAAAAAATTACAAATAAAACACACACACGCACATTTGAAAAGTCAACAGCAATTACAAGACACTTACAAACCGGAGGAAGAGGTGAGCAAATATTTTCATCCATTTGTTGTTCTTTCGTTGGCTTAAAACTGTTGCTTGATTTTCCGTTTATTGTGTTTCGCTGATTTTTTTTCGGCATTGCAACTCAAGTCGAACTCGACTTGCGTGCACAGAAAACAAAAGTATAAATTTTTGTAAATGAAATTGCAGCAGAATACTGTAACAAATGAAACGTATTGCAACTAAAAACGAGCCGAAATCTATAAGTTTGACCTGCCTAGCTAGAAGTACCTGTTCTTTTCTCCCAGTGTGCCTATCCCAGCTGGCTCACACACACACACGCACACCAGGGCGCACAACCTCTTTAAAGTTGTCGCTGTTGTTGTCCTCATTTATCTGGACTCAAAGAGCTGAAGTTCGGAGTCGCGGACTCAAAAACTCTGAGCCGTCTTCGATTATTGAGCCGTTTGACTTTTTCCCAACTTCCAGCGAACCTGTTGGCCCCACAGGCAAAAAACAAAAACCCACAGAAAATACACATCTATACGAAACTGGCGAAAAAAGTGTATATATAAATGTATCCATAAAGTGAAAAAATAAAAATAAATAAATAACGATGAAAAAGATGCTCTGGTCAGCCTCTAGAAATATGCGAGTATCTTTGAGCTCTTTTCACTTCTCGATTTTGCGCCTCATACACTTTTACACTCGCATTGGGAGTACGGACTCGTAAAGCCCATAAAGTGCCGCATATATACTTGACCTATCCGAACTGCGGGTTCTGCCAGCGGGGAAGGGAGGGGGTAATGGGTAATGGATAATGGATAATGGTCGGCAATCTGGGCGAGTTGCTTTCTGGGTTGGGCAGTTGCACTTGGCCTTAAATCGCTTATTTACCCTAGAAAACCTCTAAGTCGTTCAGACGGAATTGAGCGTTTAATGGTGAAATGTCAAGTGTGGAAAAAAATAAATAAAGTGGTTCCAATAAATATCTGTGTGACTAGAGAACAATCTTTGCGGAGTTACATATTTTGGATAAACTAGGCTAGGCACTAAGCCAAATAACCAAATATTTTGAGTGTAATTTCGCGCATAAAGACCCGGTTTTGTTCACCGTGCATTCTGCTTTAGGTTGAGAGCAATTTTCGTTTGGATTTGGCCCCTCCTCGAGGCCCCTTCAAAATGATTATTATTACTCTGCCGCATCATTATCGCCGCGCTTGAAATCTAATTTCTGCCTCGGCCACAATTTGCCACACGATTTAGTTTTGTTTTATTTCATTTTCTTTGTTGCGAACCCCAAAGGAATTGAAAGTGCGCGCGCATGCGCAATTAAGGCCAAGTGCGCGGAAAAAAATATATATGTGTATATAAATTCACGAAAAAACTCCACCGTCAACTGGCAGGAAAAAAGTAAAAACAAAACAAAAAAAGCAAATAACATAAAAACAGCGGATTGTCGGCGACGGAGGCTGAAGGCTAGAGAGCAGAAATTCACTTTTTAGTTTCGTGAAAATACAAAAAACTAAGCGTGCAGAACACAGAAGAGAGTTCCTCCCCCCGACAACAAAAAAAAGGAAAAAAAGAAGCCAGTTGGTGAAAATCCAGCGCATACAGGTTATAAAGATTTATGATCACTTTTGATACCGTCCGCCGTCCACTCGGCCTTCCAATGTAGGTGAAGCTCAAGTGAAAGAAGATAACGTGGCTTAGTGGAGCTGGAGCTGCTCGGAGTGACTGGGCCACAAATGTGGCCATAACGCCTTATAGCCAGCTATGCCCACTTAGATCCAGGTCATCGTTGACGGCGGGCCAACTGAAGAAGGGGCTCAACATGTATGATAATTAATAAGAAGAATGGTAAATCATTTTAAAATGGAACCATTTAATTACATTTAGGTAAGCCCACGTTTAATTTAACAGGATAACCAGTACTTGCACTGATAATTTCTTGCAAATAATTAAAGCCTCAATCAGCACTTCAGATTATTGACAATGATTGATGGGCCAAATTGCTCGAGGAATGGGGTCAAAACTATTGGTTTAGCAACATATTGGTTACATTCATTTATATGTTTTCTATTTATTTCTGTTATTGAGTATGCGTAATTATATGTCATAAATATATGTCATAAAGTGTAGATAAATGAACCTAGCCTTTTCGATTGAAATATTTCAAGCCCTCGGTATAATAATCTAATACTCATAAAGGTTACTCTCCTGTTATTTTATTACCTGTACAATCTGCTTTTTACGCCCATGTACATATAGTTATCTCTCCTGATTCATTCGCCTTAATCGTGTTGCAATCATTATGCATTCAAACAAATAGTTTTCACTTTGCAAGCATTGTAATATATATATATAAGCAAGCATTAATAGCTCATTAATGATTTCTTAACTGACAGTTAAGGCGAATGGACATCATTTTATATTCAATCTGGACTTGTTCCATCTAAAACTCAAACAATTTGTTGCAAATTTTCAAACAATTCATACAAATTCACTGAGTTAACAGGGAATTTTTGCTTAACTCATTATATTATATTTAACTAGTACTCACATTTGTGTGCTTCCCAACACTGTGAATCCTAATCTTATACTCACTGCACATCCATAAAGTTCACCTTATCGCATTGCATTTAATTACTCACTTCGCCACAGAGTTTCTCACCATTCATTTGCTGCATTTATTCATGGTTTTACATTTCCCCCTTCAAAAATATATTATAAACTTTTTCTGCCAAGCATCTTGAAGGCGAGAAAGGCAACAAAAATAAAATCAACAATTACCAAGGCAGATAACTCATTAATAACGTGCATGGCAAAAAGGTATTTTTAATTTTGCTGCCGAGCATTTTTTGTTACGGTTAATGTTGGAATAACTATTCATGAGACTTAAACGGGTTACTGCTGCTCCGCTCGTTGCTTTCTACACCAACAAGTGAGCAAAACAATACAAAAATATCACAAATACACCCACAGCTGGAAGTCCAAATACAAATACGAATACGAATCCAAATCCAAGACCATCCATCCAAGCATCCATCCATCCATCGATCCATAACTTTGGGTCTTTCGAGTGGATTTTTGAATGGTCGTGAATGCGGGCTGCCAAATATCGAGAAGTAACAAAAAGTAACTCGAAGAATGGTTATTTGGAGCTCTTTCGCTATATATAGCAAGCAGTCGGCTTTGTAGGCCCAATTGACCTTAAATTATTGCCCTGGCGTTGGCGTAATGTTTCAAAATTCTCGCATAATACATATATTTAAGGCGAATACTTGGGCCCAGCATGTTTATTTGGCTTTTGACCACATTTGGCCACTGGCCAATGAAAACATGCAAATCGGGTTTTTATGATACATTGTGCTGTTGCTTTTTCCTTTTTTTTTGGTTTTTTCGGTCAATTAACCTGCGATATCCGGCCAGAAAGCAACCCGGGCAATTACAAATGCAGAGCAGCTCCAGCTCCAAGTCCACAAGTCCAAGTGGTCGTCATGCCACATGCCACATGCCACTTGCCACATGCCGCATGCGAGCTTTCACTGATCCAGCCAAGCACAACTGGGCAGTTTGGATCGGACTGTGATCCTAGATCCGAGATCGCACAATATAAATCCAAAAAGAAGAAAAAACGTGGGCGAACTTTCCCACGTCCAAAGATTGCCGAGCACAAATGCACAGTGCGAAAAAGGGGGGGACATACGAGTATCAAGAGCTATGTAAGCTACTGCATATGTTTGTAAGTCCTCTACATATCAAATGCCATGGGTAAAATACTAATATAAAAATGCCTAACAAGTTTAACCAAGTGAAAATGTCAGCACTTAACGACTTTCTTAAAAATCAAGAAATAATTCAAGTTGCTGGAAATGAAATGTTTCTTTCATGCAGTATGTATTTGAAACTATCCAATGTTTTTTCCTGCCCCACAAAGCATCGTCACGCTTCGCTGTGTTGATTTGGCAAAAAAACAGCAAGTACACAAAATGCCCAGGCAGATACACTAATTTCACAAATATCAATTGATGTGTGGCGGCGTTACTTCAGCATGTTGCTCCCGGGTGCGAATCAGCAGCATTTGAAACATCACAAGCATCACAAACATCACAAACTTCAAAAACATGAGCATCAGCAGAAAAAATGGCCCTGGGGCGCAAATCTCATGGCGAATCGCATGGGAATGGAACCTGAGACCCGAAAAGGGTGGAATGACTGGTCCCCAGGCTCCAGAACCTCGCCAAAATGTTCTCAGCTCAGCTCAATCTCGACTGCACCTTTCACTTGGAGCGGAAATACACGCAGAGAAACCTTGCCTGCTTAGGTGGAAGTAAAGAACATCGAACATCAACAGCAAACATTATATTTGTCATGGCTTTGTTGTTGCTAGAAGTTTTGTAGCTAAAACTCTGAAGAAGGATATGTAAATTATAATTTGTAAAATTTTGAATAATAAGCATAACTTTTTTTCTGTGTGCACGTATTTGATGGGATTTTCTACGGGGGATTGGCAACAAGAACCGAGTGTTTAGGCTTCATAAATGGCGGGGGTGTGGCAAGCAAAAAAAAAAAAAAGTGGGGGTACAAAGCTAGAACCATGTTTTCCCACTAAAAAAGTCGACTCAACTGGGGGAAAAGAGTTGTACAATAGATAAGTGTATTTACGTGATCTGAGCTGAGTTTGCCTTTTGTCCGAAATTTCCTGCTCATAAGCACGGCTCAAGGTCATTGGGTACACTATTATTTTTATTTGTGGACCACACCCGTGACCAAGAGACAAAAGCTTTTTATTGGAAATGCCGCTTTGGTTTGAGGATTTTTCAATTCGATTTCGAATTCGATTTGGGCGGTGTTATCTCCCCCATCCAGTTTGCGTGTAACATAACCCCCCGTCATCTGAACAATCCAGATACTAAATATATATCGTAATCGAAATGCATCGCTGCCTGACCTTTTGCAATAATCGAAAGTGAACGATGCGATGCCGAAAGAAAACCAAAATTTCCCAATCGAAAAAGACTTCAAAATCGAAATGTGAGGGGCGGAGAAAAAAAAAAAACCTGAAATGCATATCGGTCTCACTTGGATTGCGTCTAAATGAAAAACTTTATAATAATAGCCGTTTGGAAAAAAGATGATGAAGAAAAGAAAAGTTAAGTTAGGCTTTCGTCACGCTTATACAATTTGTTGTTTATTTATTTTCGGTTTTCGGTTTTCAGCTTCAGTTTTCAGTTTTCAGTTTTCCGTTTTCGGCATCGTCTTTCTGTTGCGACTGCGCAATGTATTAAAAACCCTAGGTCCCCAAGTGCAGCTCCTTCCATCAACTTCGAATCCGCATCCAGCTTCGATTGCAATTATCTCGCTCGCTGTTGTCTAAATGAATTCAATTAAAAATTCACAATCGACAATAAATAACCGTCGAATCGGCGGCATTTTCGCTATGCTCCGACTGAATACTCATACTTCGGCGGACTTTGAGATACTCGAGCGAATGCAAAAAGCCAGCAAAGTGGCTGCAAAAAAATTGCCAAGCGAAAAGTAAACAAAAACACAGCTCAAATCGCATGGCACAGTGGGCCGGGAACAGCCGAAAAGTGGTGCAGATGATTCATGAGTTATTCACTTGGTTCTATCCACCCTACCACTTTGCCAATGATTCCCGGTAATGTTTTAAACATTTAAATTGCTTTAAAGTAGATAGCATAGCTGAGTGCCGATAAGATTCTTAGCTGGTATTCAGGTAAATGAAATTCTGTTGCCTTCCAGAAAGACTTTCCATCTGAAGTTGTGCAATGACCCAAAAACTGATCACTTGGGGAACTTGGTAAACAGTATCGATTGTAATGCCGCCCGGCGACACTATTTTAGCCACTCGAAACGCTATCTTATCGCCGAGTGCATTCAACTTGGCTTACATCGGCCACTGTACTGTATGTATGCATATGTGTGTGTGTGTGTATAAACAAATATATATTTGAACCGAAGGTAGTTAGCACTCGGTATGCATAAAACTGCGAACTGGCGTGGGAAAAAGCATTGGCTAATCTCTGACTCCACCAGCCGGCCAAGTTTGACCAGTTGGTTGGCGGTTTTGGTTTTGGTTATGGATTACGGTTTTGGGGTCCGATTTGGGGAATGGCTTTGGGATGGCGACTTCCCCCTTGCAACGCACATTACTCATACGCCGCATGGCCATTCGCAGCAAGGGTCAAGATACTGGACTTTCGGGCGGAGGAGAATATCGACAGCGAATCGATATGCGGATCTGTTATTATGATCCGGCCCGACTTCTAAAGACTTTCATTCATAGAAACTTTCAAAAAAGCATGAAAAGACAATAAAACAAAAATAACACAAAAACACGAAATAACTTCCAAGTGACCATCAAGAACTGGCCGCGAAAACGGGTTTCTTCTGGCTTTCGGCTTTCGGCTATCGGCTTTTGGGTTTTGGCCATAATTTTTTCGTATTTCTCCGCACCCTGGCAGAATACAATTTTGTTTTTTGCAGATACATTTCGCAGGCAATCTAACAGTTGGCTGCTAATGTGATTTGTGAATGTTTCGACGTGTATTTCGCAAGGCAAAGTAAATAAATTACATTGGCAGTTTAACGACGTCGTCTTGCCGTTGGAAATTGTCGCCGATTGGCGGCTTTTGTTTGAGTCTAAGATTTCCAGCCCGGTTGCAGCAGGGCCCAAAGCCCCCCGCCCCCCGCCCTCCCTAAATTGCCGGCCATTTAACAAGCCAATAGATACAAAGCCTATCCACACAATGGTCACACAAGATACAGCGAAACAATGGCACGCAAGCTACAGCTACGGGCAGAATAATAGCACTTATGGTGGAATCCATTAACAGTATACATATATGTACAACTTTTTCCCATGAAATTGCTAGAATCAGTAAACTCATCGTAGAACCAGAACAAATAATTAATAATTAATTTGAATTTAAAAACAAAAATATTGAAATCTATGAGAGACTTACTATTGGAATGACTTTGGCTGCACTGCGGATACGTGGTCATATTCGATACAGATACATGCACAGGCACAGGCACAGATACAGATACGCAACCTGCTGCCGATGAGCTTCAATGGTTCGCGATCGCTTGATTGACAGTTAGCTAACCGTTTCGACTTAATACAAGTGTTTAACAGTTAGTCGGCGTGGAAATGTAGTGAGAGATACTTGCCGCCAAGGAAATGCTATCATATATATGTATGTATGTCTGTGAGTACTTACTGGCGTTCCATGGGAAACCGATGTCGGTGGGTTGCTATTGTACAAACATCACTTATCTGCCGATAACTGGAGCAATGGAACCTGTTCCTACACTGATAAAACAACAACTGGCAATGGCAACAGTCTGAGATTCCGGGAAGCAGGAAACTAGTAATGACCGCGGGAAGTTTAATGGATCCATTGAGGTCTTCTGATTCTAGTTCTGGGATTCATTAAAAGGAGTTATTCGTGGAAATGAAATCTTGTATCTAAATTGGATTATTGTTTTTGGAAAATATATCGTTCTCTTTGTCAGGTTAAATAGCCATTAAAATAGCTGCTGACTTGTAACCTTACTTGTTACTCACTTTAAGCAAATTGCAGGTGTTTGCAAAACATTTGAGGCATTTCGAAATGCGCAAACCTTTAACCCTCACCCAAAAAAGTGTAAACTAAGTTGGTTGCAAATCACTCCATGTCCCAAGAAGGCGCACTTCAAAATAGCAGTCAAAGTTTGCGAAAATCCCCTGCCATAAATAAGGAGCGGAACCTCTGCCCTTTTGAGAAAAAGGGGACACATTTTGTTGACCTTAACCTTAGCCCCAATCTCTTGTGTTTTTGGTTGTTGTTGTGGAGGAAATCTGATAGCAGATATGTACATACATACATGTACACGAAACTGACTGGCAGGCATCTGTGGAAAATACATAAAACCAGTTGCTGCAGAACCTTACAAGTGAGTCGCGATCTTGGCCTGAACGAGTTGGCCAGTTGGACAGATGGAAATTGTTGTTAAAATATGGGTCGTGCGACAAGAAATGAGAAAGTGCCAGTGAGCCAAACGGCGGAGACCGTTAGAATCGACTTTATGAATGCAAGTCTTGGGCTTGGCCAGCACACAAATCGAAGAGCCACTAATGGCAGCTGGTTTTTTCCAGGGGGGTCTCCATCACCATCACTCCATCGCCATCTCCATCTCCATCTCCTTGGCCATCGCGGACCACCAAAAAAAGCATTCGAACCGCTAGCGAGTAGCGTGCGAAAATGGAACGAACCCAGAAAATATTGCCCCAGGGAATATGCCCGCTGCTTTCAGAAGAATCGAGAACTGAGAACCGAGAATCGAGAACGAGAACGAGAAAGAGCTAGCGAAAGATCCAAAAGAAAGAGTTCGACATTCTAGCGAAAGGCAAAAGGAAGCGGGGGAAAACTACAGCCAAACATGTTTACAGCACTTTTCAAAGCTAATTTAAAATAATGTCCACATTAAAGAGGTTGTCATTAAGGTAGGAGTTTTAGCAATAGCCTTAGAGTGTGTGAGAAGAATGAAGAGGAAGTCTGGAAGACTCCGAAAACAGTGGGATACATTAGAATCTACAACAAGGAAGTACATCTGCATTAAAAATTGTGGAAAATCTTCTTCATTTCTAAGTTCGTAAACTTGTAGTCAAAGGATTTGGCCTTTGGACAAATAAGCAGGGAACATTTCCGGAAAAAGAAGACTGACGTTTAAAGAGATAATTTTGAATATATCAAAATTAACTACATTTCTCACAGTTGGCTCTATTTGGTCAGCATCATTAGCTGCCAAATTGGACACCATTAATTTATTCACTCGCCCATTTCGCTTTTGTCTCATTAATTGGCTTGCATGTTCGAAACTGTCAATGAGGCAAGGTCACCAATCGGTTAAGGAAACGAGTGGCGATGTGAGAACCGCTCAGATCTCGAAGATAAATAGGAGAGAAAGGTCGAAAGGTGACCTAGACAAGTGGTAGAAGAGGAAGTGAGATCCACTGGAGTACTTAAACTCATCTAGTCTAACTGCTCCTGATAGGAACTGCACATCCACTTAGACATAGTTTAATGATGTTTTGACAAGTGGCGTAACTAACCTGTGTTCCATTTGTATTTCTTCAGTGATCTCTCCGGGATCAGGATGTCGGCCGCCACGCACATGGCAATGCCGGCTCACGCCGTCGTCCCGCCGCCCGGCACTCCGCCTGTGCTGGGGGGCAGCGGGTGCTCCAATCTCAGCCTGCCGTCGGGAAAGCGTGGCCACAAGCGCAGCGTTTCGCTGGAGAACAATGCACCGCTCGCACTGCGCAGCACTCCCAGCCTGGGCCAATCCTCGCTGGGCTCGCCGCTGCTGCAGTTTGGCCAGGCTCCGGGACAAGGCCACTCGCAGGGCTTCCACACGGGCACTTTGAAGTCGCGCCAGGAGCAGCGCAGACTCAGCCAGAAGTTCGGCAGCCACAGCAACTTGGACGACGAGGGTGTGGGCATTGGTGTGGGCATGGGCATGGGCATGGGCATGGGCCTGCAGATGCGCAGCAAGTTCCAGAATATACGACAAATGTTCGAGCTGAGTCGCAGCTGCGTGGGAGGCGGGGGCGGCGATGGCAGAGGGGGCGGGGCCGAGGAGGAGGCAATGCAATCTCTGCCAGCAACACTGCCGCAGCCACATCAGCCACAGCAGCAGCAACAGCATCAGCAGCAGCAGCAGCAGCAGAGGCGCACCACGCCCATTGCCGGCGGAAGTCGCCACCAGCAACAGCAACAAATGGGCGAGGCGGAACAGGTGAGGCTCACAGCTACACTGGAAACAAAATTCCAAATTAATTATACGTCACAAGCACTTTGACCCATTTGTGTTTCGGTTTCCAACTAATCCACTTGGCTTTCCAGACCAGCGGCAACTTTCTGCGACCCATTGCCTTCAAGCCCATTCCGTTCGAGCCGGACTACCGCATCGCCTGCCAGCAGCAGCAGCAGCATCAGCAGCAACTGCAGTTGCAGCAACAACAGCAGCAGCAGCAACAGCAGCAGTTGCAGCTGCAGCACCAACAGCAGCAACAGCAGCAGCAACAGCAGCAGCAGCAGCAGCAACATCAGGCGCTGCAGCTGTCGACGGAGGGCGGACAGGCGGGGGGCGGGGCCGAGCGGTACGGCTACGGATCGACGCCGTCACTTGCCCCACTGCCCACCGCATCGGCCCAGAAATTTGGCAGTGAGTAGCAGTTAACATTCCGCTTAATCTAGATTAGATACTCACTTGACATTGGGGCCATTTGCAAGCCATACATTATAAATTATCTACGTGAAGTTAAGTTAAGTGGACAAGATTACGCTGGAATTGAAGAGAAAAATAAATACAAATTCCTAAAGAGGGAAATTAATCAAGTGCTTTACTTTTGAAGGTACCACTGACCTACGACACCTGGCCGCTCGGCGTCGAAATCATCGCCTGCTGCAGCGCTCCAGTAACGAGGACTCCCTGACCCTGGACCTCCTGAGCACGGGCAGCCACGACAGACCCGATGGCACCAGCAGGTTGGCCATATCCGATAACCTTAAGATTCGTTTCTAATATCTGCTTTCAAACCGACTGCGCAGCAAGAGCAGCGGCACTGTGGTGGGCAGCAGCGACCTGACGCCCTCGCCCTCGGACTCTGGGATCTCGGAACTGGAGGCGGCGCTGAAGGATCGCGACTCGGAGCTCTCGTACCTGCGACAGGCCATGGAGCACAATGAGAAAGTAATTTTCCAAGTTCAAAAGGTTAAGCAGGCAGTCGCCCGCCCACTGAAGCCATGTTTTTAATACCCATTCCCCTGTTGTTTTGTGTGTACTTTCGACCAGGACAAGGAGGTGTACTGGGAGCACGAGACGCAGCGACTGCGCCTCTTCTACGAGGGTCAGCAGCGGGAGTGCCAGCTGAAGCTGCGCAAGATGGAGCAGCTACTCGGACTGCAGCAGTTCCAGCTGAAGCAGCACAAGCTGCGCCAGTCGGAGCAGGTCAACCGGCTGCAGCAGCAGCTCGACTTGGCCAGGGACTCCAGCCAGGGGCTGCAGCAGCAGGTGGACGCACTGCGTCACCAGCTGGAGGACAGCGAGTGGCGCGTCTGCGAGCGCAACGGGGAGATAGCTTTACTCAAGACACAGCTCAAGGAGGCGCATGTACGTAGTGCACATATAAGTCAGGGAAAATGTATATATTTTTTATCCGGTTGCAGCTGGAAATCAACATGAAGGATCATGCGATTGTCAGCCTGAAGCACAGCAGCAACAGGAGCAGCAGCAGCAGCAACAGCAACAGCAGCAGCAGCAGCAAGTCCTGTGACACAAACACAAGCCAAAGTCAACCAAAGCAGCAGGCGAAGGAGGAGCAGCCACAACAGCAGCCAGAACTGCAACTGCAACAGCAGCAGCAGCAGCAACTGAAGCAACAGAATCAGCCTGACCAGCAGCAGCTGCAGAAGATCATCACCCTGAAGGATCAGGTGATTGGAGCGCTGACCAGCGAGCTGGCCAAGTTGCGCAAGGAGCTCTCCGATCTGGCCATTGCCCACGAGTACGGCGAGGAGCCCTGTGGCCGATACACTCGCCTCAAGCAGCAGCTGGACAACCTGAACGAGATCTGCCAGAAGACCCGAAAGTACGCAACAGCATCCCCAACGGTAGCACCAACGGCAGCACCACCAGCAGCACAAGTAGCACCAGCCTGTGCCCATGAGCTGCCCAAGCTGGATGTGCTGGTGCAGCGATTGCAATTGGATCAGGGACAGGGTACGCAGCAAACGCTGGACACGCTCATCGAGGAGTCCACCACGTACGCGGAGGATATAGCCAAGCTGCGCCAGAAACTGGACGATTTCCGCCTGAATCTCGAGCTGGAGAAGCGTCAGTGGTGCGCCGAGAAGGACAAGGTGCTGGGTTACCAGAAGCAGCTGCAGGCCCACTATATCCACATGTACCAGAAGCTGCGCTGCCTGGACAGCGCTGGAGCAGCAGCTGGCCAGGTGGAGGCCACCAGTGGCAACTGAGAGGAGCTGGAGCTACAGGCAATGGTGCTATCGTCGCTGGGGTCATAAACTTAGGAACCAAGTGGAAAACAGTCCTTAAACTGCACTTCTTCCTTTCAACTGATCAAAATAATACTTCAAAAATATAAATGCAGCCAAAGCAGGACTGCAATGTACTTCTGCTATAAAAATCACTTCACTTAATTATCTGCTCTTAACTTTAATGGCATCATTAAAAATACAACTTTTGCTGCGACTCAAAACCAGTGAGTTGAAACATTTTCCTTCCCTCGGCGATAAATAATACACGATTTTCGATATTACTAGAGTTGATGTACACAGAACTCTGATGAATATTTATACAAGATATGCATAATGAATTTTTTGTTTTTAATATTTTACAAATATATATATATATGTATACTTTTAATTTATTAAATGTAATTATAAACGAGAAAAAAAACATTTGTGATTTCGCATGTTGAATATAATAATATATATTGATATATGTATGCCGTTCCATTATGCATATGCAATAAAAAATGATAATAATGAAATAACAATATTTTGCTTTATTGATGAGGACCAGCGCTACAATTAATGTGCAGAATCGATAAATGGTAAATGACTACACTGGAAGCTAAACATAAAGTGTAATTGGTAGTTAACATTATAAAAAAAAATATAAAATTAATACAATCGTTACTCGTAGATTACTTAGTATGCTTAATGCAAAGGCCTGTCCTCGGAATCATCATCTTGTCAAGAGCAGGGTAACTAACTTCGTAACACTAAAGTGGATCGATTTGTTTGATATAAAAAAATTTAACGATTAAAATAAACCTGTAATGCAAATCAGGGCATGGGATATTGGGTTTCGTTTGAGTGGCTATCAAATTAAAAATAGTTCTATGGCGAAAAACATAAACAGTACTGGTTAAGCAGTCAAACATAAAAAAATCAATATATATACATTTTTACTCCTTGAAAAAATGTCAATATATTCAGTATTTTTCCGTAAGCTCTTAATTAATTTTATGATTCGTTTGATTTACCTTGTCCACCAAGAAAATGGTTAAGGAAGCTCATAATATTTTAGCAAAACAAAATATTTTCATTTTTTCCAAAAAAATGTTTTAACAAAAATGAAGTATTTTGTTCTTGATTTTGTTCGTTTTCAATGAAGTTAATTGTTTAAGTCTTAATGTTTTCTTTTACAGTGAATAATAGTTTAGTGCTTCTTTATGTTTCGAATGAACGAATTGCACAAAAAACCTCGATATTTGTTTCTTTGCTCTTTTACACTTTTTTTCAAGATATGCACTTTACTTGCGTGTAGGTAAATCATTTTTGTGCACAAAACATATGCTGTCATTAAATTTTAAAGTGTAAATATTTCCAGTGTTCTGCGAAATTGAAATATTATTTTTTAAAATAAATATATCCTTTTCATTTGTCAATTAAGAACCATATTGGCGTTCAAATATAAGTGAAATTGGGGTGTAGTAAATGTAACATTTGATTTTTAGCAATGATGATTGATAGCAGAAAATATTGGCAGTTTCAAAATGAAGCCTGTATTGATTCAAAATATCCCTGAATCGCCTTGGGATTACGTTCTCCTTCAAGGTTTCATGTCAAACAAATCGCTCCACAACGCACACACACGCTTCTGGCAGTCGCACACACTCATTCGCACTTTTATAGCTATGGAGGGAACCTGGAAGGGCGATCCCCCAACTAGATCTAGGTGCACTCCTCCACATAGGTGGCCGGAAAGATGCCGATGTGGTTGCGCAGGGCGCCCAGCCACCAGCCGTCGTCCTGCTTGGCATGCACCTCGATGATGTCGCCGGGACTCAGTTCCAGCTCATCGTAGAGCTTCGGGGTGTAGCTATATAGTGCCTTGCAGCGACCCAGTATCGGACCGGATCCGTCTTTCTGGCTCTTCTGCAGTTCCTGCGCATTCTGATAGAAATGCTGCGTCTGCACTTGGCCATTGATGGGTGGATTTTGCAGCATATGCTGCGGTTGCGGCTGTTGCTGCTGCGGCTTCTCCGGCTCCTCGTCCTCGTCCTGCGAGCTGAACTCATCGAAATCGGAGTCCTGCTGATTGGATCCACCATCCGCCTGGCCGCGATCGCTGTGATGATGGTGGTGGTGGTTATTGTGATGGCCATCCTGCAGATTGGCCAGAGTTTTGGACTTAACGGACGCGGCAACCGCGGCATTTGTCGTCGAGATTATCTTTGGTTGGCTGGTGAAATTGGTTTCGATATTGCTCTTGCTTCGGTTGAACTGCTTCACCACCGAACTGATGTCTGTGCAGGAGCCGTTGCTATTATTGTTGCTATTGGTGCTGCTGTGCAGGTGGGAGCAGTTCTCCTCGGGGAGCTCATCCTCGTGGTTAGTGGTTATGTCGGTGATATCGTGGGCCAGCATACTGGTCGATTGCTGCGTCTGTGACTTGTCGTTGTTCTTTAGCCAGTTGGGGACCTTCAGGATGCTCTGCTGCAATCCAGTGCGGTCACGGGTGATCTGTGGATTTCAAAAGACGTTAAAACCACTTAAGTCTTTTAAGTTACCATTAAAAACCCACCTGAATGTGCTGGGCCAGTGGGTGAGTGGTCCTGGGCTTGTGGTCCAGCTCCAAGAGGGCAGAGTGCAGCTTGAGGCGGGCGCCCTCCAAATAGGTCAGCATGGAACGGATCTACAATGAACCATATTTAATAAAATCTATTATTGAGTGAGATAAAGTGTTAAACATACATGGTAGAGCTTATCGGTGATGTTCTGGTGCTCCTGGTGGTTAAGCGATTGCGACAGTCCCCTCAATCCGTCGCGGGATCGTCGCTCCCGCTCCAGATCCGTCTTGACCAGCTGCAGCAGTTTGATCAGAGCGTGTTTGCGACGCTCCCTGTTCATTGCCAGCGTGGTGTGTTCGCAGTAAAAGTCGGGAAGTAGTTGCTCACTGGGTCCCTCCGAATTGCGGCGGATGTGGCGCACCACTTGCATGTCCTTAGCCACGTTGCAAGCATCGAGTTGCGGCTGCAGGCGAGTGCTCAGTCCGCCGAGGATCGGATTCATGTCCGAGATGAGGCGTGCATACTGCTGGGCAAAGTTGTGCATATTGCCCAGTCGCTGCTGTTCGCTGCTCTGCAGCTGGGCACTTCCCCGAAGCACGGCCATCTCCCAGTCCACGCGGGCTCGCTCCGCCCGGACGCACAGGGTGTAGTATTCCACATCCGCCCGCTTCACCGCCTCCTCGGCCTTTTTGCGCTTGTTGTCCAGCTTGACGCAATCCTTCTCCGCCGACTTCAGCTCCTTTTCTGCGGCCTGCTTGTTGGGCCCCTGGTGGAGAAGAGCAATCGATGGTGATTTCTGGATGCGCACGTCCAGCATCGCGTCCTGCAGCTTCTCATTCTCGCGAGCCGCCGTGTGGGAGGCCTTCTTGGCTTTCGCCTCGCTGGCTCGCCATTCGCCCAGGACTCGCGCCGCCTTGTCCACATTGCTCTCCACCTGAGAATCGGGATTTGCTTAGAGTTATATGCCTTACTGTATTTAAAAGTCTGCCTACCGCCTTGCGCGCCTTGTGGTGACCTTCGACCACGGTCTTGAGCGGCTTTACCAGCTCATCCGTGAGCGAGGCCGCCAACTGGCGATGTATGTCGCTGCGGCTCTCCATCTCCGTAGCTACTCCACGCCAGGCGTCGGCCACGCTTCCGGGGATTTCCCTGCCGGCTTTGTTCAGCTTGTTGGCCAGCTTCGATAGCGACTTGGAGTAGATCAGCTCCGAGTCGGCTCTGAAAAGTTACAAATTTAATTTGGATCCATTACGCAAACTGATTTGATCTTTGACTCACCTCTCCTGCAGGACAAAGATGAGCTCCTTGCTAAAGTCGCCGCCCTGCTTGACATATCGCCGGAGTTCCTCGAAGCCGTTCTGTCCCTGTTTTGAATAGCAATCATATCATTAGCATATATTTAACCCCAATCAACCCATCCCCTTGTAGCAACCCCAGACCAACAACAAACAGGTAGACCTGTACCTCATCCTTGAACCGCTTGGCGTGCGGCGACAGATCCTCCTCGCTGTTTCGGTGTGACATGGACGACTCCATTTCGGTGCGTTCAGTAACATCCTCGCAGCTCTCGGTTACATCGCGACGACTTCGCTCCGGCGACATTGACTGGCGACTGGCATCCGCGGTTGACTGGTTAAGATTGCTCCGTGATTGGGCCAGACGCTTGAGCGGCGTCTGCTGACGTACTGCCTCCTTGATCTTGGAGCCCTCCTCGCCCAGCCAGTGTTTCATGCCGTGCCAGCCCTTGCGCAGCTTCTCCTTGTTGTGATTGAAGTTGATCAGCGTTTGGTTCTTGTTCTTCAGCAGGGTGATTCTGCGCTCACTGGGTCTCAGCTGATCGCGATGCGTGCAGTACTCCAGATCGATCTCCTTGCCAAAGTCCTCCGTTTCGTTGATCTGCCGCGTTAGCTCCTGCAGTTCGTCAATCGAAACGAACAGATTCTGGGCATTCAGGCTCTGATAGCTCACTGACTTCAGATCAAAGTCGTATTCTCCATTGCTGCTGCAGGCCAAGCTATGGCGGGAACTCTGGTGAGAGCTCTGATGCGAATGGGAGCGGGAGTTCAGGTGGAACGAATCCAGGCTCTTGAAGTGGGGCTGCTGAGCCATGAAGCCACCATTTGGTATGGGCGATCGCTCGGCGGCTGGCTTCACCGCTGTCAAATTTTCCTTATTATCACTGGCCGCCAAGCTGAGCTCGCTGGCTCCATAGAGTTCCGGCAACTCGGGCAGATTCAAGTCCAATCCCAGCTTGGCCGGAGCCGTGACATTCATGTCCAGCGCCATCGAATTGGACTTTTGCAGGTAGACCTTTAGTTCGCTGCGATGCAGATTCTGAACGGATTGCGATTGCCTTTGCTGGCGAGCAATACGTGGTCGTCTGATTGGGGGATCTATGGCAGTCTGTGTGGGCGTTATGGGACGTTTCCCTTCCTGGGCAGCCAGCAACGTTGCCTCCACCTCATGTTTGGGCGTCTCAAATTGTTCTGGCTCCTCTGGATCGTCTAGATCTTTTGAATTCCTCAGCTCCTCTTCCTGGTGTGGTTCCTTAGGAACCTGAAATTGATGATCATCCTGATCGTGATCGTTGTTCTCTCCCTGACCATCTGTGGCTTGCAGATCCTCATCCCTTTCCATTTGCGGCGGACTGCTTCTGGCGTCCACAAACTCCTCCTCATCCGAACTCCTGGGCGTCAGGGTCCTCACAATACTGGTGGTCTGGGCTATGCCGCCGCCAATCTGCTTGAGCCTGGCCTCCGTGACATCGAAACGATCGGTGTCCAGGGTTGTGGTCGATATCAAAATCGGAGCTCCGATTTCCAGGCGGTGATCATCCGAATGACTACCGGTCATATTGTAGCTCCCAGTATGGAGTTTGGTGGGCGAAACGGAATTATCACTGGCATTATTCGACGGATTCAGATTCATACTGCCGAGATGACGACGTCCCAGTTTATTTCCCAGCACTGAGTAGCGCTTGATCCTGCCCAGGAATCCTTTGGCTCCGCCATTCTGATTATTATTGCTTCCGACGTTATTGTTATTATTGTTGGTGTTTTCCGCTTGGGGCAAATCGGCCAGGGCGGCATTATCTTTGCCTCCCAGCTTGAATTTGTGCACCCGCAGGTGGTTCATCGTTGACGGCTGTTCGATTTATGGACACAAAAACATTACAAAAATTCCAATTCCTAAACTTGCACTCTTGTTCGCACGTCTGCGTGTGTGCATGTGTGAGCGTGCGTGTTCGTGAGCGTGGTGAGAGAGGGGCGCAACAACAAATGCAGTGGGATGAAAGGAACTGTAAGGGGGAGAGAGCAAACTGGGCTTCTTCTAGGCGAAAAGAGAGCGCCGAAAGGGGAGCGAGAGTCGACCTGGAAGTGACGCTTGTCGTCGATGGGAAAGCATCCGTTCTTTTTTGGAAAGACCCAGATTGCTGCAAGTTTATGTTAAAAGTGCTCTCATATTCATCAATTGTCAATGATGTGATTCGCGAAATAACGTATATTTCGTTCTAATGAAACTATAGAGAAATACACATTTTTTTAATAATTTCTTAGCGGCAGTAACACTGTTTTTCAAAAGTGTAATGGGTATGCACATACATTGACAGTAAACATCAATAACTATTATCTTTTTGCTATATTAGATATGCCGAACTGTACACCTTTCGTTGCAGACGAAACGCGAGCAAGTGAGGCCCTGGATCAAATGTAAAAGCAATTAACTCCCTAATTTAGTTCACATGAAAAGTGGCAGCCAGGGCCTAAGGCAATCTAAATTCCACTGGAAGCCCATTCCCCCATGTTTAATTCGGAATAGCCAACCGTTATACCCGTAATACCCTGTAGCAAGTAACTTGCAAGCGATGTTTCACCTACATACCAAAGCACACAGATAACATAAACACACCGAACAGAACAGGAAAACAAGGAGGAGCAGAAGGAAAAGGAATGGGTAAGTGACTTAAGAAAGGTGCTAAGAATAGGGGAAATTGAAGGAAAAGGCCGCTCCCTTCTTCACCTTCTGGCGACCCCTAACCCTCTCTATCCACCGTTTCTTTCACCTTTCCCCCTCTGTTACCCACCAATTCCCTTACTCTTTGCTCCAGTTTTCGATGCAGGTAGAGATTACAAATCGGTTTTGGGCTCAAGGGGGGAAAGAAAGAGGGCAAAAAAGGGAGGCATGGGGCGTGGGGAGCAGTGGTTGTTTAAAGGGAAGAGATAAGGGAAAGGAGAAGCAGACGCACAAATCGCTGCGTTGGCCACTGGAATAAATGCAATAACAAAACTAAACCAGAGACTGCAAAGTCGCCGCCCGTGGCGCCCCCATCGACTGCGACGTTGGCAGCGACGTCTGTTTGTCTCCTTTTCTGTTTTGTGTCTGGCCGATCAAGTGTGGTTGCACAGCAACGATCAAAGTAATAGAACCACTTTCAAAATATTAATTTATGTATTAAAATATATATGCCAACCAATTTTGATTTCAACTTTACAAATTTAAATTTCTAAATGATCTATTTAAATTTAAAATTATTTTTGTAAGCTACAAGAAAGTAAATACCAGTAGAGAATTTAACAAAATTTTGTCCTTCAGAAATTACCAATCAAATTTCTATTAATCTTGACATCTATTGTGGCTTTTCTTCTATGATCACTTCGTTCCGCTGCTGTTCGCCTTCTTCTTCTGCCTCTCCACAGTCATTCCGTGTTGGTAATTATATAAATCATTTATTTATGAACTATTTACTTTCGAGTTAAGTCTGATAATTGTTATTCTCAACGATTTCTCTCCCTCGCCGCCTCCCTTTTCCAATTTCCTTACTTCGCTTGAATGAAATGCAAATTGTTTTTTCATTTTTCCCTGGGCGAAGTGGGTTTTCTAATTACAAATGAGCATATAACGCGGGTACTCCGATTTCTGTTGTTGCAATTGCATCCCAAAGTGGAGCAATGGGATGGGGGAAGAAAGGAGAGAGGAGGACGACGAAGAAGAAGAGAGAGAGAGAGTGGGGGGATGAGAGAGGACTGGGGACAAGCGACGATCATTAAGCCCCAGTTGTTGTTATAACTGTACCGTGATGTAAGGTTCGTGCTAAGTTTCTACAAATGCATATACATATGTATGTGCATATATTCGACAGTGAAGACTCGGGAACGAAAAGATAACTAGTATCGATTTACTTTTCTCCTAACAAAGTTACATTAGCGTAGCTATGCAAGTTACTCAGTAAAATGGAATTCACATAAACAGCTTGGGGTAAAAGTTCCCCAACTTCAAGGCAATTGAAGAGAGGAACAGCAAGCTCGCTTACCAAGCGACCACTGTACTGGTAAGCCTGTAGATATCTGGGTTGCCTTCGTTACACTTTTCGCGATTCAAATGGCCGACGTGCGAAACCGTAGTAAGTAAAACAATTTAATTACATTTTGCACTTGTTTGTTGTTGCGGCTAATAGCATTTGCATCGAGCAAGAAGCAGAGCGGCCAAAGAGGATGCGCAACCAAGCAGAGGGTTAAAAGGCGGCAGTGGGAGCGAGAGGGGTTAATCGCACCGTCTGCGATATGTCACGTTTCGCGGAGGCAGATGAGTGCAATAAAGTGGAGTGTGTGACAAGTCAAAAGACAATTCAACTAATGAGCGAGCTTAGCTTAGCTGAAAAGCCGCACAAGCAGTCGCAAGGGAGTCGAGGAAGCAGTGCTTAAGCAGTGCTACACTGGGACAGAAATGTGGGACTGCAAGAAACTGTAAATGCTCTATCCTAATATTTGCTTTAATAACATAAATATTTTTCCTTGTTAGTTGCGATCCTGATAGAAAACAGAACATTTATTTATAATGATGAAATCAAGAATTCGAAGATTACCCAATCAAGCCCTAATCTAGAAAATGACAGGTGAGGTTTAGTGTAATTCATATTTCCGTTTTAACATAAAACCGAAAATCTCAGTTGATGCAAATTTTTGGGAAGTGCAAGAAGGTGGAGCAAGAAAAGAGGTGAGGTGCAAGTCGAGAGGAACCTGCAATTATGGGAAGCCTTCTGCCGACTTCGCAGTCCAGGCTTAAAAGTCAAATAACATAAATTATGGCCAGACGGACGGAAGATCATATGGGGGCAAGACCCACGAAGATAAACAGTGGAATAACTCTGCCCGTGGGCCTTTTGAGCTCTATAAATAGAGTTGCCAACTGTGGCAATTGCAGCCACCGACAATTGCAAGTGCCTTTTGGCTGGGCCCCTTTTATGGCAATTTATGATTAATAAAAGGAATTAATCGCACACAATGCCAGCGAGTGGCCATAATTGGTGGCACCGACTCCTGTAAGGATCCATGGATCACAGTCAAGGTCATCGCAAGGCCATATATGGGAGCACCGTCTATTAGCCACTCCTCTACCATACCTACACCATGTTTGGTTATCCTGATTTTTTAAATAGACTGCCTCGGTTCATTTCTATTTTCTAATTCACATCCAAGCTGCGATTTCAACAGCAGTCGACTGATTTATAGTTTAGCCCAACTTCAGTTTATATACCAATTCAAAGCTAAGTTGCAAGTGCACTGAGAAGAATTTCTATAAAATAGAAAGAGCCTTGGTTTCATTTTTATATATATTTACTTATTATTTTTCCCGTTTTAGGAATTCGACTGAATATTGCTACTGTGATCGACGAAGGCAAATGGCTTCATTTCGAATGTTTACTACTTTCAAATAAACCACCAAATCTCGGTGAGTCGTACTTTTGATACCATTTTGTAAGTGCACCCTATATTCTCTGAGTGAGCAATCTCACCTTAAAACTCGATATACATGCACTTAACTACGCCTGTCATCGCCATTGTATATAGAAATTGATTCCCATAAACAAAAAGTGCGAAAGTCTAGCGAACACCTGAATACAGTAAACCATAAACCATTCATGGGATGCGTTTTTCCATTAAAGAAGGCTCATTTTGCTGTGGTGCAAATACCTTGAATTGAATTGATCCTGTGTTTAATTTTTTAATAATACATAGAGTATGTATGTATATGTATATAGTGTGCTTTTGCGATGGGAGAAGTTTGAGAAGTGACTATTTACCTGGCATTTATCTCATTCCACTGCTGTATTCAGGCAGTAGTTTATGGGGCGCATTTATCGCATTTAATGTCTAGAACAATAAACAAAACGCTAAATTTGTAGTTGCCAAAAAAACCGAAAAGATTTCCCTGCCCTTTACACTTTGCTTCGTGTGCGATCGGTTGATCTTTCGATCTCTCTGCGCCAGCCAAAAATAGAGAATGAAAATGGGGTAGAGTTAAGTCGAAAAGTATACGAAAAAAACCTTATAGACAGTGTCTGTATGTCGACGCTTTCTGTTTCACTTACGCAAATATTTTCACAACTTATCGCGGGATGTTGCGCCAAATGCGCAAGGTCTGAGACCCGAATGCAAAAATAATTCTCTTAATGAGGCAATTCAATGGCGAAGCACTCTGTTTGCCTTTCCCCGCATTCCTCGAATGCCTTTCAAATGGTTAAAACTCTTGTTCAGTTGGGTTCGTCTTCAATCTCACTGATCTGATCTGATCTGACCACCTGATTCGTGTAGGTCACGTTCGCTGGGGTGTCGAGATGATGTGAGGTGGGCGATACAGGTGCGGATGCCCAGCTAGCTAGATAAACGGATTAAGGAAGTTGGCGAAAGCGCTCTTATCAATGAATTCTGTACAGAAGAATAAACTGCTATGTAATCGCCAAATGCGATAAGGTGGTTATATAAGTGTACCCGGGTCTTTCAAGTTTTTTTTCTCGGAAGAAATTATGATGTATCTGCCATCTAAGCCTTGAAAGTAAAATAGTTCTGTCCATCTATGTTATCTATGAGTAAATACAAATAATATTAGATGTATGCAAGACGAGTGAAATATGAGTCCCTTTTCTGTATGTATGTATGTACTTCTCTTAATGGTAGACATAATTTGACTTGATTTTTAAGAAGTCTATCATTAAGTAAATGGAAAAAGCCCCATTTAACTGGGGGTCAATTACAAGAAGTTCTTCCTCATGTGATTCTGTTTTTCCTTCTGGCTGCTGCACTCGGCTCATGTGGGTGTCAGGGGTTAACGCAATTAACCCGTTTCGCCGTGCCGCCTCAATCAATTTTTCTTAAATGTCATTGACATGCCGAGCATGCAACATGTTGCAACAGGCAGCAAATGACGGAGACGCGATTTGAAGAGCTTTTATTTAGTTTATTGTATTTTATTTGTGGTTTTTTTGCCTCAATTCTTCTGCCGATTGCCGTTAGACAGCGGGCACTGGCCATCTCACTCGCTCACTCGCTTTGAATGCCTGTCAATCTTGTTAGAAATGCGTTTGTTCTTCGAAGACGTCGGCGGAGGGGCAGAGAAGGGCCCCAAAGACTGAAGACGAAGCAGAAGACCCAGAAGAAGCAGCATAAGAAGCGGCTGCATTTATTTTTATTCGACATTCGGTCATTTTGGGCTTATGCTTTGTTTTTCGTCATTGTGCTTGTCTTTGGAATCCGTTGAATATGGTGCCAGTGGCTAATTAACTATCGAATTACAGTCAAGCCTCGCTAGCTGGAACTTTATGCATAGGGCGAATTCCATGTCCAAACAATTCCAGTTGTCAAATGAGTTTTGAATCGTAAAATACAGAAAATACATGTGCCTCTGAAAGACTCTTCAACAGGTGGCAGTTCAGGCTAGCGAGGTTCATCTGTGGATCTTTCGATCAACACCTAACGGTTAATCGTTATTCAGAAACTAAAGTTCTACCAAAATGCCTCCAACAATTGCTGGGCCATAAATAATTATGCTAATCGCTATCTAAACCAAAGAACCGGCCATCAAAAGAGAACATTCATGTAAAGATCACATAATATCTATAAATACGTACATATACACCTCAGATATTGGACAGATATATTTATGTGTATGAACGGATGCGTAGACATGGTCTATGGGGTATGGTTTTTATTGTGTTCTATTTGGGAATTGTACAAAAATAATTGGCACATTTTCAAGATGTTTAGACTTTGGTTTTTCGGCCAATCGGGCTAAGTGTGTATGGAAAATGTACGCTGAATGCGATTTAGCCAAGGAAATTTCAACCATTTATTGCGACCGAAGATACAGATTCTTTTTGGTGCATCTGACAGATGAGTTTGCCATTTGTCACACCACAAACTTGAGCTTATTTTGGAATCGGCAACAAGGTCGACAGATAGCGAAAAGTAAAAGAGCTCCAACCGACACTATTCGATTTGCTACAACAATTAGAAGATACAAGATGCGTTTGATGCACTAGAAAAAAGTCTATTTGTGTACAGACATATATTTTTTTAAATATTTTGAAATCTAAAGGTCTATTTATTCAATACATTGGTGATTCCTTTTTTTTTCTGTGGGTATGCAGAAATTCATTGCAGGGGGCATTGACTGTACCGGTCTTTTAAAACGATTACTACTGTTTATCTAAAGTTCCTGAGGTTCTGGGGATTTGAGAAGTCACACGAAAACAATTCTCATTCGATTCCAAATCAAATCAATCAAAACACAGGAACCCTAATTCACTGCATTATACCGTTGTTGTTGTTTCTTCGCACGTTTCGCACTCAAATACACATACACACACAGCACACTGAAAAAAACAATTAGCTAATTTGTGTTACGGTTATGCAAACAACCAAATATGTACATATACAATAAGTATACGAACTGGTGCAAAATTTACCGAAAATATATAAAACTGTAATTATTGTTGCTGATATTATTGTTATTTGTCTGTGGCAGCGGCGACATTTACAGAAACGCGCGACGTCGGCGTCGGCGACTAAATTTAGAACAGCGACGAGAGAACAGCGTCGTCGACGAAGCGACGTCAACAACGCGCGGCAGCAGACTGAGCTCTGCTCTGCCCGCGGAGCTCTGCCAGAACGCTGCGCCAGCGGAGAGGCGGAGAGGCAGAGAAAGAGAGCGAGTGCAGAATGACACCGAAGAGGGTGAGAAGAGAGCGGCAATAGCTTGTTGCGCCGACGCAGGAGGCATGCTGTGCAGTCGCTGCGCGGTTGCAGCGCAGTTCCTGCCTGGATGCTGCACCTGTTCTCACTCGTGCCTCTCTCGCTCGCACCCGTTGGCCGGCGCTCCTGCTGCGCTGTTATGGGTTTTGCATTTGTTTTTGTTATTGTTATAGTCGTTGACAACGCGTAGGCCAAATATTCAAATGGAAGAAGAAGAAGAAGAAGAGGCTGATCCGCCGACTTACGGTACACCGCAAGGCAGTACAGCGCAGCCGCAGCCGCCGCCACAGCAACGTCATCGGCGCAGCATGCAAAGCGGTACTCACTGATTGGCCCGCCAATGTACCGTTGCACAGTGGGCCTTGATTGACGCGTGGCTTGATTAATTAATTGTGTAGTTAATTGCTAAGTGGCAAAAATTAGTGGAACATGCTGTTAAGTCGGCGATTGTAAACATCTGAAAGTCTCGCATAAATTACATGTGTTATTGATCGGCGGAAGGTATTTATCATACATATGTATATTTCGGTTCTATAGATGCAGAAATTTTGCTTTTAGAATATTTAAAATTTATTTTTGTTAAATCACTTGTTTACTTTGTTTATCCAATGTGAATATTTTTGTTTATTTTATGCATATCCAGTTATATAATTTCCTTAGTAGCGCTTGCTTCGTTTTTAGTTTCTTGCTCTCCGCTCTTTAAAATTTTTGAAATTTTTCGCTTACATGGCTTCCCTTTTTGAGTGGCTCGATCCCAGTGTGCACCATAGGCGACGTCTACGAGCGATACAATAAATTTAAGCAGCTAAATGCACGTGCTGAGTGAGGCGACGCCGTTGACAAGTACCGGTATTATGGATCTTCGGATTGTCGGGTTCCGTTCCCGGTTGCATAACCATAACGATAGGCATGCGCTTCAGATTTATGCAGGTTCGTATTGTCGGGAGGGGGGTGTGGGGTACGATTATAATCGGAATCGGAATCGTTGGAAACCGCTCACAT